ATAAATTGGGAAAGTGTATAAAAAAAATGCAAGTTATACACTGTTCACACTAGGGACTATATTCGTAGACAACGAAAACCAAAGGACGATAACTGTGTCCTTGGACCTAATAGGATAGAAAGACTTGACCAACTTTAATAAAACTTTGCATGACCTAAGCTTAGGAAATTATAAGATAGTTGGCCAAGTTTCATGGCCATAGGATATATATTATAGAAACTAGGGCCATTTTAGTATTGAAATTTGGATGTTTATTTTTGACGTTTAAATCAAATATTTTCAACTGTCAAGATTTTGGCCTAAAAAATTTAAATATTGCAAAAATTTGCTTTTTAAATACTCTTGAATATAATGTAATAAGTATTAATAGCAACGGAACACTCATTTGATTTATCAGATTTATTACAGTTATTCAAAAGTCAAATTTATGTGAGCCTGTGCCTGAAAATAGAGATTTTCGAATTAAGGGAAGCCTTACATAAACATGCATTTTTTTCAACCAATTTGAAGTTTTTGAAGTTTTTTAACCATACATTATTCTTCCATATATATTAAATGTACTTTAAATGTAAAGAAAAGTTACAAAAAGCATACCACATGACTATAAAATGGTCTTAGGCCATGTAAGACTGAGAATTATATAGAGTCGATTTAGGCCGTAGCCCATATTTACATATAAAAATGCACACAGAGGCTATAAGAAATGGAAATTTGTTACTTTTTGCTCATTTCTATGCTAAGATGTCATGATACAAGAAGTCTAATTGCAAAAGGACTCTTGAATTCAACTTTTTTTTGCAGACAGTATGGTCTGATGACCAGTTTTTCACTTTTCAATGGAAAACTTGCATGTAGTTTTAGTCTCAATTGGCATATATTTGAACCACTTACTATCCTAAAGAAGAAAATTATGGTAGCATATGAAATGAATAGGGTGTACTGATCATTGTAAAGTGTTTTTTTTACAGATTTAGTGAAATATTTGTGATGGACTACAGATTATATGTACAAAGCTCTTCACATTTCACATACATCAAACAGGCCGTTTAACCAGGGACATAAATACAAATATTCTGCACATTTTTTCTGTGATAATCTACTTTTCTCTAGATTCAGAGTTCACAAATGGTTAATTAAATTTGATTTTAGCATAGAAACACAAATATCAGGAACATAAAATGCTGTCAGATAGAAAGTCAGCATGGCTCTTAGGCATAAAATGGAAACTGCTTTAAAATGCTTATTTAGCCGTATAATGCCAAAAAGGGACATTTTAACAGAATTTCTGTCAAACAAAGATGTAAATCCTTTACTTTTATTGAGTTTGACAAATTGAAACCAGCAAACCATTCAGGAAAGTTGCCAAAGTACAGAATCTACATTTACGGAATTCATCTCTTAGGCCCGAGAACACAGTTATTTCGTAGTGCATTTCTTTTAGAGAATAAATTCAAATTAAAAAAATCGCACCTGCTCTATCTCAAAAAGATTTTTACAGTGTAGTGTACTACTATTGATACAAATAATATCAAAATTATAGAAACTTCTACCAGCTCTAACTCAAAATATTGACAATTCTGTGTTAAGGGGGGCTACAATTCAGTTTGACAGCTTCAGACATTCTAATTTTTGACCTTTTTTAACTGGACCAAATCACTACTTAACATAAAGATTCAGCACCCAAATTTTTTTAACATGTAATTTCATCCCCTTACTTAATATTTCATGCATAAAATATCAAGGAATAAATTGGGAAAGTGTATAAAAAAAATGCAAGTTATACACTGTTCACACTAGGGACTATATTCGTAGACAACGAAAACCAAAGGACGATAACTGTGTCCTTGGACCTAATAGGATAGAAAGACTTGACCAACTTTAATAAAACTTTGCATGACCTAAGCTTAGGAAATTATAAGATAGTTGGCCAAGTTTCATGGCCATAGGATATATATTATAGAAACTAGGGCCATTTTAGTATTGAAATTTGGATGTTTATTTTTGACGTTTAAATCAAATATTTTCAACTGTCAAGATTTTGGCCTAAAAAATTTAAATATTGCAAAAATTTGCTTTTTAAATACTCTTGAATATAATGTAATAAGTATTAATAGCAACGGAACACTCATTTGATTTATCAGATTTATTACAGTTATTCAAAAGTCAAATTTATGTGAGCCTGTGCCTGAAAATAGAGATTTTCGAATTAAGGGAAGCCTTACATAAACATGCATTTTTTTCAACCAATTTGAAGTTTTTGAAGTTTTTTAACCATACATTATTCTTCCATATATATTAAATGTACTTTAAATGTAAAGAAAAGTTACAAAAAGCATACCACATGACTATAAAATGGTCTTAGGCCATGTAAGACTGAGAATTATATAGAGTCGATTTAGGCCGTAGCCCATATTTACATATAAAAATGCACACAGAGGCTATAAGAAATGGAAATTTGTTACTTTTTGCTCATTTCTATGCTAAGATGTCATGATACAAGAAGTCTTATTGCAAAAGGACTCTTGAATTCAACTTTTTTTTGCAGACAGTATGGTCTGATGACCAGTTTTTCACTTTTCAATGGAAAACTTGCATGTAGTTTTAGTCTCAATTGGCATATATTTGAACCACTTACTATCCTAAAGAAGAAAATTATGGTAGCATATGAAATGAATAGGGTGTACTGATCATTGTAAAGTGTTTTTTTTACAGATTTAGTGAAATATTTGTGATGGACTACAGATTATATGTACAAAGCTCTTCACATTTCACATACATCAAACAGGCCGTTTAACCAGGGACATAAATACAAATATTCTGCACATTTTTTCTGTGATAATCTACTTTTCTCTAGATTCAGAGTTCACAAATGGTTAATTAAATTTGATTTTAGCATAGAAACACAAATATCAGGAACATAAAATGCTGTCAGATAGAAAGTCAGCATGGCTCTTAGGCATAAAATGGAAACTGCTTTAAAATGCTTATTTAGCCGTATAATGCCAAAAAGGGACATTTTAACAGAATTTCTGTCAAACAAAGATGTAAATCCTTTACTTTTATTGAGTTTGACAAATTGAAACCAGCAAACCATTCAGGAAAGTTGCCAAAGTACAGAATCTACATTTACGGAATTCATCTCTTAGGCCCGAGAACACAGTTATTTCGTAGTGCATTTCTTTTAGAGAATAAATTCAAATTAAAAAAATCGCACCTGCTCTATCTCAAAAAGATTTTTACAGTGTAGTGTACTACTATTGATACAAATAATATCAAAATTATAGAAACTTCTACCAGCTCTAACTCAAAATATTGACAATTCTGTGTTAAGGGGGGCTACAATTCAGTTTGACAGCTTCAGACATTCTAATTTTTGACCTTTTTTAACTGGACCAAATCACTACTTAACATAAAGATTCAGCACCCAAATTTTTTTAACATGTAATTTCATCCCCTTACTTAATATTTCATGCATAAAATATCAAGGAATAAATTGGGAAAGTGTATAAAAAAAATGCAAGTTATACACTGTTCACACTAGGGACTATATTCGTAGACAACGAAAACCAAAGGACGATAACTGTGTCCTTGGACCAATAATTTATTTTTAATTTATTGAACCATAAAATTAATTTTTGACTCTTCACATTTTACATAATCTGCTTCGCGGATTATTCAATGTGAAGAGTCAATAAATGATTTTAAATGAAATTTGATTTCTTTCGACTAAAAGGTTCCTATTTGATGAAATTATAGACAATATACCGTTGTTAAGTCATTAACATGAAACACTTTGTTTTTATTTATAAAGCTAACATTTTGAATGTATGGAAACAGTTCAACTCGTCTAACATACTTTTAATTTCTTTGTTAACCCTCTTGAGTTGCGTTGTGGCCATTACTATGTAATATTATCATTTCCGGAAATGGTGCTTTTCTGTTGTACTTTTTATGACATTCATAGCTCATTTAACAGCATAACATTCAAAATAAGTTATCTCAAAATAAGTACACATAGTTATCTTACGATTCTGAAAATAGTGATTCTGTTATTTATTCTAAATAGAGTTATTTTTTTTTCCTACCTGAAAGTGTTTATTAAAAAAAAAGTGTTGTGCACTTTAAAAAAAAATTCGGTCTGCACTAATTTTGCTATCCCTAAAAGCTAAAAATAAAAAAGAAGACATTTATTACCTTTCTATTCCGAATGAAGCTTTTATTTTCTTTCTTTCAGGTACTGATGGGATGTGTACGTAAAATAACTGTTGCATGTAACTGCCAGTCGAAAACTATGGTTGTTAACATTATTGACTGCCTAGCATGAAGAAGCGTGATTCTTTTATTTTAACACAGCATGTTTCTCATACTTACCAATCTTCAAGAAGAGAAAAAAAAAACGACAGTAAGTAGGAATGTATGTCAAGCATTCTTACTCTGAATAAGGAGAAGCTAATATTATAATACAGATTTGTAAGTCTGTTTTAATGGAGAGCAAACGATCTCTCGCACTCGAAGCCAAAAGGCTACTAAAATTTAATCGAAAAGGTTTGTTGCATTCGAAGCGCTTATTCTGGATTACATTAAGAACAGCTGCTTTGTAATTTGATTATCAAACAATCCTTAATTCTGTATTGGTGAATGGTGAAAGTTTCATCATACAGTTTGTAATCTTTTTTGTACGTTATAATGACATACATACTTTAACTTATACAGTTCAGTAGATACTTATTTGTGTTTTCGGTGCTGATGGTTTCTTTTTTGCATTGTGAATGTTTTTTTTACAATAATCTCAGTCAATGTCATTGTTGAAAGTTGTCTATATAATCTTGATATGCATGACCCTTAGACGTTTCGACAAAGCATTATATCATTGTTATGAAATATCATGTTTATTAGTAAATAGATCATTTATATTAAGCAATGGACATCTCCAAAACATTCAGACAAACCAACAGCCACTGGAGGATTGCAAAAAACGTTCTACAAGCACAGATGGGGGAATGTACTCGAATACAGATGTTCCATTTGGCGATTCCGCTATATATTCATTAGCAAAGGATTATAGTGACCCTAGTAATACTATAGAAGTACCAGATAAACAATATGACAGGGTAACATACATGGAACCTCGAAATACAGATGCAGACAAGCACTATGATCATATAACGGAGAATCATTATCAGAATCCTTATTCGTAGTATGGTTGGTTTTCTCGGATAAATGTATTGGTATCATTATATAACTTACAAACACATTTTACCTCGTTTCTTCGTTTTAAAGTTGCTGTTGTTTTACTAATGATTTGCTGTTCATTTCTTAAAATTCGTCCATTCTTTTTTCTACCTAGTCAATCATCGTTCTGCTTTTCTTTTTCGATTTTTCGTACCATTCCTTCTATCCGGCGTTTTGCATTTGCGCCGATTTGCATTTCATTTGCGCCGATTTTTTATTTCACTTGCGCCGATTTTTTCTGTCATTTGCGCCGATTGTGTACAGGTAGATTACAGGTGAATGTTATTTCTTATTTTTTATTTATCATTACAAATCTCTTCTGTTGAAAATTATAACATGTATATAGCTGTTGTGCCCTGCTCACCACGGGGAGGTGAAATAAGGATTTCAAGCAATAGAAGTCAATTTATGCGAATGAAACGATTCAGAACTGTTATTCGTCCTCTTACAATTTTCAACGGGTGTTAATCATATATAAATACTTTAATAATACGTAGTCTAAGAATACATGACATCTGTCATCAGAAGGAGCTTTTTACCAGTGTAATTTGTTTTGTCTTTATACTCTGTTTAAAAATGTAAACTAAAACCAACAGACTGGATTTTCCTCCACCAGTTTATGTGCCAGATGAAAACGACAACAATCTATTTGCAGGGGACAACAGTTATATACATGTTATAATTGACAATTTATAACATATGTACAACTGGCTTACGGAAGAGGTTTATATTGATAACTAAAAAATAACATTCACCTGTAATTTACATGTGCTTAATCGGCGCAAATGAAAGAATCAAATCGGCGCAAATGAAAGATCAAAACTTTTTAAAATCGGCGCAATTGTCATACGCCCCTTCTATCTTTTAATTAATGATGGAATGAGCATTTTAAATTTCGTCGTCCGATCGTCCTTTAAATTTGTATAAAGCTTCTTCTCTGAAAATAGTAACTAAAGAGGAACAATACGTAGCAATAAATCTTCTAAGAGTGTCAAAATTCAAATTTATGTCCAATGACCAACTTGACTACCATTTCTGAAAATAGTACATCTTGGAACAAAGAAATGCGCATCAGGTACAGTAAAATTGTTACCGTTTATGTTATTCTGAAAATCTTGTTAAGACACAATTACCATGTGGGAGGGGTGGATAATTCATTGTCAGCTTTAAAATCACTTAAGGATTATTTCAAAGATTTATAGTGTAACCTGTAGAATAATTGAAAAGTAGATTCAAACATTTTGGAAACTGAATACCCGTACCATACATTCAAAGAAGGTGTAAAAAGATTAAATTTCAATATTCAGTCATTTTTGATAACTTCATGAAACAGTGGTAAAAGAATTTTAGATGTCTAAGATCTTCTCATTTCTTTATGAATGGAATTGTGGTAAAAAAGAATTGAGAGTGTATCAGTTCTTCTCATTTCTAAATGAATAGAATTGTTTGTGCATATTTTTGTCTACACATTTAAGGTCTCACATGTCATTCTGAAAAGGGAGAATATACCAAGTTGCAAACAAATACCATTACTCGAATAAAAGCAGATAGTACCATGGCCAAAGAAATATTATTTAAGAACAAACAATTCGCAAAACGCTACACAAAAAAACTTAAGATTGAGCAGCACGAACACTAGGTGAGTACAGGGTGAACTCTATTCTTCCTGGATGGTCAGCAAATCCTTCTCCACTAGTGAAGTCCGTAGTGTTACTTCGTATCAAATCCGTTGATGAAAATAGTAAAGTGGATTGGAAGTTACACATGTACATAACAGAATTTATCATATATGAAGGTCCATAAGGGGGGCAGGATGCATAAATCTGCTTCTGATTTGCATTTTGATTGCTGAATGCTAATTTTCAAGACACATGAATGCTTAGAATATAAAGGCATGTAAAATTCTTAAAAAGCATTGAAAATGTCTGCGTTTTTTGTGTAAATTTAAAAATAAGATATATAATAATTATGTTCTTTCTTTTCTATTATTTATTTTATAATATGAGTGTAAATTAAAATTATAAAGCGTATGAAGACACTACTTCTTTAAATGAATGAGAAGATGTTAGGTAAACGGTAATGACCTTTTTGACTCTAATTGGGTTTTGTGTATATGTTCCGGACCATATGAGTATTTGGACCTTACGCGTATGGTCATGACCATATGAGTATATACTCGTTTGGTCATTAATGGACCGGACCATATGGGTATTTAGACCATATAGGTATGTTTTTTAATAAATATAAAAAACTTCACAAAGCTCATTCTCCAAACCCAAAACGGCTAAACAGTTTCTAAATGATTTCCTTTACCTTTGACCAAGGACGTATAACTAACATAGCCTTTGCAATAGTCAATTTTAAGCCTTTATCCTGTCGATTGTTTCGTCCGTAAGTGAAACCACAGACGTTGGAGCATTGACCCTTTTTTTCTTTTTTCCTGAGTGCTTAAATTTTTTTTTGAAAACAAAATTCTTCTAATTTCTACTTATTTTCATTTAAATGATGTGTTCTTGTTCCGATTCATACGGTTTTACTGTTATTGTGAGATCGTATGAATAGGAATTAGAAATCATAAAAAAACTAATATCAATTTGAAATATTTAAGAAATTTTAATTTAGTAAAGACCAATTTAATTACCAAAGTAAATAAATAAGACAAGATGATTTAATGTAATAAGTGCCTTCGATTAAAACAATTTATTTCTTGTTCAACATTTCGTTTAGATCTTTCTAGAAGTTATTTTCAAAAGTCGACATTTCTGTTTCGTAGGAACAAGTCGATAATGACCACGCAAAGAAGATTATACTATAATACTTTTAAATTGTGAATACAATTCACTTTATTTCATGTATCATGTAACAATGGTTACCATATGATTGTATAAATGAAAAATTCATTTTAGAAACACTTTATTTGTGACACCTTTTCAATGTTCATCATGTTAATTACCCGGACCATACGCGTATGGTCGGACCGTTTGAGTATATACCCATATGGTCATGACCATACGCGTACGGTCCAAATACTCATATGGTCCGGAACATATATAAGATGTATTTTAAAATTACAGAAAAACCACTCTGTTTTTCTTAAAAAAATTGATATTAATTTCGAGGTTTTAGGAGTTAATGTCTACGGGCAGAAGTAAGTTAAAAACTTTGTCTTACTTTGATGAATGGTTTTTAGTTTTTATATTGATAAATACCAAATATAACTGTTATAATAAATAAGAAGATGTGGTATGTTTTTTTTTCTCTCACAAATTTACCAATTTTTGAGAGAAAAAAAGAAGATAAGTATAACATTTTTTTTATTTCTTCAACTAAAATTTTTATTGGCATTTTCTTATTAATTTTTTTAGTTCGTAATGCTTTTTGTCATGACTTTTTATCATGAAAGGTGATCAATACCGTTTTGTTTAGGAACTTTTGTTTTAATATAATCCTATTTATTTACACCCTTTTTTGAATTAATGTAAATAAAAGAAAGGTGGTTTAGTAGTAAGGATTTTTCGTCCGCTGACGGTTTTCAATAATAATTATTAACTACTTACTCGTCTTGTGCTGCTGCACAATTTAATGCACTCCATATATGTGTATATAAGGGAGAGAGTCTATGGGAAACACATTTTGTGCAGGCCTGACTGTTAATCCATGATGACGGTTCTAATAACTTGCATTTTCGTCGTCATTTTCTGCACATTCACAATGGTGTAGATGTTGTTATATTTCTTTTTATCATTGTTTTATAGTTGTTGTCGTATCGTATTTATGTTTATTTGATATTTAATTATTTTTTTCTTTAAGTGCAAAATGTACAAATTTACATGGTAGTAACCATTTTAATCACAACCGGACCAAAAAAAAAAAAAAAAAAAAAAAAAGGAAATGGAACTTTTCATTTCTTTTTTGCGTCCGTCATTTCAACATATTTTTTTCTGAAATATAAAATAATTTAGTATGCAGTTGTGTTACAAGAGATTACAGATAACATCAGAGTTTTTTTTATTGCAAGACCCTTTTTTTTAAATATCAACAAAACAAATATTGTTTTAGGACATACTAAACCTTATTTTCCCTTGTACTATGGGAATCGAAAATGATCGTTTTATTTTGCTCAGTTTGACATTTATTTAATTAATTCTCCTTCCAACATTTCAGTAAGGTCTACCTACTAACGACTTATAACTTAATCACAGGTTATGCACAGTACCTTTAAGTTTGTTATAAAAATAAGGATATCTGGTATAATTGCCAATGAGACAGCTACCCACCAGAGTCAAAAGGACGCTGATGTAAACATCTGCAAGTCACCGTACGGCCATTAACAATGGGCAAACCCCATTCCGTATACATAATAAGCTATAATAAACCCTGGCATGACAAATTGTGAAACAGTTCAAAATACATAAACTGAAGGCCTGATTTATGCTAAAAGCAATAAACGAAAAACAAATATAACAGACTGTAACCAAAGATAGTGAAATGACTTTATTTCATTTATGAAATTTTGTTTATAATTTTTTTTGAGAGCAAAAAAAACAATATCCACATTACGTGGAATTTTAATATGTGTTGCTTCAAAAATCCAAGAATTCAGATGGTGCCAAAAGTCTGCTACAATATGACAGCCCGACAGTAAGTGTTCCATAGTCTCTGGTTCTTTGCAAAATGTACATTAAATACAATGTACAAGGTTCATCTTGAAAATTAGAGTATTTGTACTTAAGATACGTTGAATAATTCTGTATTGAAACCAACACAGCTTTGTATTTTTTGAAAACACATATATACATGTATATAAATTTTTTTCTTCAATGATTAACGGCTTTTTCTAATTAATATTTTTTTGTGTAAATTACCATTTCTCGTTATT